CAGCACAGCAACAAGCGTAGAGTTTAGCTGAACGTGACAAATGTGTGTGGGGCGATGACCTGACAACGCAATGTGTCACGTCTTCGCGTCTGACATGTCTAAGTCATCGTTTCCGCATCTGCTCACACGGATTCATCACGAGTATAAATTGGCCAGCAGACTGGATGGCGTCACATGCGCAAACGTCAATGGAGTGGAAGATTCTCCTCTTTGCAGTCCTTGCGTGCGGCTTTGCGGTGGCTCTGCCTTTCAATAGCAAATCCATCACTTACTCAAAACCAATGTTGGACAATGCTCAACCGGATGCAGTCCATATTGGCAATCACTGCAATCAGACGTGTCATGAAGATGTGTGTGACTACGTTTGCGATAAACGTAACTCTCCATTCCACGTCTTCGGTAACGATGAGATTAACAAGTTCCCAATTGTAACAGATTTCGTTGGAGACAAAACTAATTACTCGATGCGAGAACTGGACAACATATTGTCAGAGATGGAGGAGGAAGAGGATGCAGAAGAGGATGAGGCTGAGGATGAGGATGGGGGGCCAACTGACATGGATGCAGAGGGATACACACCACCTGATTTGGAAATGGGTTTGAGTCCATACGATTTCGTTATAGAGAGGGAGGAGTCACACATCAAGGCAGATGATGTGGAAAAGCCAAATAGTGAAATTGCAGAAGACGCGGATTCAGAGACCAAGGAAGCCGAAGTGGAGAGGCCGAATGATGTGGAACCAGCGGAGGACGCACAAAGTGGAGAAGAAACAAAGGGGAGTACAGTTGAAACTGTCACGCAAGTATCGGACTCGAGCACTGTGGAAGGAAACGTGGAGAAAACAAATGACGCATTCACGGAAGAGACGGAATCAGAAAGCGAGGGAGATGGGAGTGAGAAGTTGGTGAATACGGATTCAGGAGAGGAAGACATAGAACCTGAGGAAGCAGTGAGCGAGAATCCTTCTGTTGGCATCGCTACAGAAGGATCTGACTCACAGGCCGAGGAATCGGAGGAAGGTAAATGTACCCCAGACGATGATGCCGACATTGCGGTCAAGGAGGAAGGGCAGAAGGCGACAGACGAGGTTGATGGAGTAGAGGTGATGAAAGAGTCATGTCTTGGTGCAGATGAAGGATGCCATAGTGATGTCAAAGTTAACTTGAGAGGAGAAGGGGAGCATCCGTCACTTCTCGATAAGAGGCTCTTGCACAATACGAGCACGACATCAGATTTCGTCACAGAATAAACCAGCTTAATGCTGACCCTCTTCTGACTGTAGTAGTTGTGAATTAACCTGTCAATGTTTGGATAGTAGTAAAGTGTGTTGCATAAGCAGCCTCCTATTTCTGCTTTTTAGATCATTCTTTCAACTGTTCCTTGGTATTTATGGTGTGATTGCAATCGACAGTCTATTGCTTCGTCAAGTACACAGTTTGGATTTGGAAATGCAGCCCTGACCTCTCCAAAGCAAGAGATGTGGTGGTGGTGGTGGTGGTGGTAGTAGTAGTAGTAGTAGGCGTAGTCAGTTATGGTAACCGAAACCAAAAGTCAAACATTTTTTACCATACTTCCAATACGGTAACCGCGTCTGATTCGGACACTGCCTCATTTTACTTTCACGTTGGCAATAAATGCCAGTTGTATCTCACAATTCTGCTTGCTGTGGAAAATTTGGTGTGCGTGGTGGACAATCCTGACAAAGCATTTGTAGCATAGGGTGTATGCACAAGTTGATGAAGGTGTCCAGACAAATCGGGTAATTAGTAGCCGCAAACGAGGATCCTGTTGGCACATAGGGATTGATGCAAACGCTGCGGATATGGAGTGTAACCTGCATAGTCATCATGCCAGTGTCTTGACAGTTCTGTCCACCAAAATATGTGTGCTGAATTAATGTCATCCATTGCATAAGTTAAAGACCGTCATATTGAATAACTTGCCTCCAAACAAACACAAATGATGATTGATGCAGTTTGTGAAAGCGAAATCATCAGCAGGTCACTTCTTCGACTAACCCAACCACATGGCCGTCTAGGTCACAAATTCCATTGCTTGCTGCGATTCCTTATCGAAGTTACTGCTTCACAGGATGTTATGAGTCTGTCTGAATAGGAATGTGGTGAGAATCAACTCGGTCTTGTGCCGGAAGAAGGAAGCACCTGCTGTTCTATTTTCAGTAGAGTTGGGTGAATACTTGTCCACTTTCGACGCCTATTTGTGGTTTTACATGCAAGTCCATGCTCATGTCCTGGTGTCTCAATTTTGAATCCAATTGCGGGTTAA